TATATAAAAGAACCAAGGCAATGGAGAGTCAGAAGAGATTTGTGAAAATATTTGGAGAGAACTTCTGAGTGCTGTGAAAACCAACCATTCGCTAAGAGGAAGGGCATCAGTACATCTCTGCTTCCTTCACCTCACACCTGCAGGGAGGACTTCCAGTGAGACCATCTTCTGAAATTTGTAAGAAGTGTACTAAAGCTAATGGGTTCTTAGCTGTTACAATGGAACCAAATGTGTCTCCATGGTGAGAGCTGTAATGGGACTGCCATGCACTCCCACAGTTTCACCGGGCAAAGGATTCAAGAGTATTTCCTATGTGGCCCTCACTTTTAGTGAGACATAGCCAGCCTAGAATCTGCCAGAAATCCAAGGCTGAGAGGAAAGTTACAACCAAGGTAGAGAATGCTACATACACATTGAAGTCAGTAGAGTTCAGCAGAGGAACTTCCAAAATATGAACCATGAAAGCAGCCACGGATGGTCAACCTTGAATGTCTGCCAGATATGGAGAGCCTGAAGTCTCTTAAGGTCTATTCAGTGAAGCTCTCTGGCCCACTTTCCCCTCTCTCCATCCAAGCTACAACTCTCTCAGGAGGAGTCAGAAATAAGACCAGGTAATGAAGGAGAAGAAATGAAGTATAAAAAGTAAGAGTCATCCCCATCTGGTTCCAGAGAGTGTAGAGGCCCACCTTCTACAGCCCTAAAAAGAATCATAAGCTTTTCAATGTAATGAAGCATTTTTGAATATATTGGACTGAACATTTTAAAGTACTGAATCAGGACAACTTAGATGTGCCTGTTATTTGGAAACTATCAAAGAAGTTACAAACCTGCCATGTTTCATTGAGAAGCTTGAGGAAAGCTTTCTCCATTGTATAATATTATAAAACAACTTTATGCAATACAGCATAAATTGCATTTAGCTGTGTTGTCAATTTATCAATATATAAATAACACATGGATGTCTATGTCTCACACTGAAACACTAGGGGAAAAACAGCCTCTTAGCTTTAACTTAGAACCTCATTGCGCCAGTGCCGCAGCTTAACAGGCTAATCCTCCGCCTAGCGGCACCAGCACACCGGGTTCTAGTCCCGGTCGGGGCGCCGGATTCTGTTCCGGTTGCCCCTCTTCCAGGCCAGCTCTCTGCTATGGCCCGGGAGTGCAGTGGAGGATGATCCAAGTACTTGGGCCCTGCACCCGCATGGGAGACCAGGAGAAGCACCTGGCTCCTGCCTTCGGATCAGCGCAGTGCGCCAGCTGCAGCGTGCCAGCTATGGCGGCCATTGGAGGGTGAACCAACGGCAAAAGGAAGACCTGTCTCTCTCTCTCTCTCTCTCTCTCTCTCACTGTCCACTCTGTCAAAAAAAAAAAAAAGAACCTCATTGCTCCACGGAATCTCAACAAACATATAACAAATAAATGGGAAGACAGATAATCTGTAGCCCATTACATACTGTAATTCATGCACCCACCAATTCTCCTTCCCCAAATAGTCCCAAATTCAAAAGCTTCGGGGTAATGAATAGCTCATGAAACTTTTCATCCATTCAGAAGACACACAGTCATATTTAAAGCACAATGATGTCTCAGGGTAACAGTATGCTATATGTGCAGTTAAACCAGTTGTTCAGAACAGGGACAGTCCCACCACCATAGAGAAAACTTGGAACATCTGCTGAGTCATTATTCCAACAATGTAGTTGTGCCCAAAAATTAATCTAAGGAACATGGTCTTTGCTATCTTTGTGTGAATTATATCAATTTTTAAATAATATGTTCAACTACATTGTACTTTCTATTTATTTCAGCCAGAGAATAAAGATGACATTAACTATTTGTTATGAAAATGAGAGCTAAGGCTGCTATAACTGATAACAACTCAACTTACAGTACTTTATACTGTTTACTCAATCTAACAGCTCTTATTTTTATAAGCATTTGCCATTTTTTTAGTCTATAATTTTTCACATATCCAAAAGAGTTTTAATAATAATATTTTAAGGCGGTGCTGTGGCTCACTAGGCTAATCCTCCACCTGTGGCGCCGGCACCCCGGGTTCTAATCCTGGTTGGGGCATCGGGTACTAGTCCCGGTTGCTCCTCTTCCAGTCCAGCTCTCTGCTGTGGCCCCGGGAGTGCAGTGGAGGATGGCACAGGTCCTTGGGCCCTGCACCCACATGGGAGACCAGGAAGAAGCACCTGGCTCCTGGCGTGGAAAGCCAAGACACTCTGGCAAAAGATCTCTGTGAGTGAGATCCCAGTGGAAAGAACAGGTCTTCAAAGAAGGAGGTACCTTTCTCTGAAGGGAGGAGAGAACCTCCACTTTGACTATGACCTTGTCTAAACAAGATAAGAATCGGAGAACTCAGAGGGCTTCCATAGCCTTGGAAACTCATGACTGGAGCATAGGGAGATTACTGATGCCATAAACAAGAGTGTCAATTGGTAAAGTCAACAACAGGAGTCACTGTGCACTTACTCCTCATGTAGGATCTCTGTCCTTAATGTGCTGTGCATTGAGATTTAATGCTATAACGAGTACTCAAACAATATATTTCACTTTGTGTTTCTATGGGGGTGCAAACTGTTGAAATCTTTACTTAATGCATACTAAACTGATCCTCTGTAAAAAAAAAAAAAAAAAAAAGAAAGAAAGAAGAAATTATCAACTCCCAACTTGACTCTCACTGGGATTAAACATGACAATAGGTCTGCTCTGATTTCATCATCATTTAAAAAAATCATCTATTATTTTTCACTTTATGTTTCTGTGTGGGAGCAAACTGTTGAAATCCTTACTTAATGTATACTAAGCTGATCTTCTGTATATTAAGATAATCGAAAATGAATCTTGATGTGAATGGAAGGGGAGAGGGAGTGGGAAAGGGGAGAGTTGTGGGTGGGAGGGACGGTATGGGGGGGAAGCCATTGTAATCCATAAATCGTACTTTGGAAATTTATATTCATTAAATAAAAGTTAAAAAAAAGTATTATCTAAGACACAGTTCATACTTATTGTGATGATGATTCTATAACTGAGCCCTTAAGATGCTGCTAGTAAGTTACATTAACAATCCCATATGGTTGTGTTCAATGAGCATGCATATTAATTTTTAAAATATTTTATTATTTAAAATTTTAAATTAATATATAATAGTACATCTTTATGAGGTATGGTATAATATTTCAGTGCATACACAAGGCATAAATTGATGAAACTTGGCAATTAGCCTCTTCTCTCCTCCCCTTTCTTTTCTTTCCCTTTATGTTTGGAACCAGCTCCTTCCTTTCAGTTCTTCATAAAGTATACAATACATTATTGGAACCACAGTCACCCCACTATACTGTAGAACACTACAAACTGTTACTTCTATTTAAATGTATTTTGATACCCATGATCCAATCTCCTATTTGCCCTCCTCCATTCTTCACAGCCTCTAGTAATTACTATTCTGAGTTCAGATCAACTATGTTTTTTAACTCCACATGTGAGACAGAACATGCAGTATTTCTCTTTCTTTGTCTGATTTATTTCACTTAATGTAATGATCTCTAGTTCCAAACATTTTGTTGCAAATGACAGGATATATTTTTTTATCGTGACTAAATAATATTCCATTGGCTATACATGCCACACTTTATCCATTCATCATAAGTTGATTCCATATCTTGGCTATTGTGTAGTGCTGCAGAGATATGGGAGTTGAGGTAAATCCTTGATATGTTGACTTCATTTCCTTCAGATTTAACCCCGAAGAGGGATAACTAAGTCATATGGCAGATATATTTTAAGTTTCTTGGAGGAATCTCCACAGGATTCTCCATAACGGCTGTACTAATTTGCATCTCTCTTCCTCCACATCCTTGCCAGAATTTGTTATTGTCTTTTTGGTAATAGCCACTGTAACTTCAATGAGATGATACTTCATTATTTGATTTGCATCTCCCTGTTGCTAGTGATAATGGGAATTTTTTTCATGTATTTATTGGCCTTTTGTATGCACTATTTTGCAAAATGTCTATCCAGATCCTTTGCCCATTCCTTAACTGGATTGCTTGGTAGATTTTCTCTTGAGTTTTTTTTTTTAGGTCCATATGTAGTCTGTCTATTAATCTTTAATCAGGTGATTATATAGTTTATGAATTATTTTCCCATTCTCTGGATTGTCTCTCCACTCTGTTGATTGTTTCCTTTTCTGTGCAGATATAATCTCATTCATCTATTTTTTGCTTTTATTGCTTGTGCTTTAGGGGAATTATCTATGACAATGTCTTGAAATTTTCCCTGTATGTTTTCTTCTACTAGTCTCATAGTTTCAGGTTTTACATTTAGGTCTTTGATCCATTTTGGGTTGATTTTTGCTTAGAGTGAGAAATGGCATGGAGTGAGGATAACAAGCTTCAATCTTTTACATATTCAGCTTTCTCGGAACCATTTATTGAAGAGACTGCCTTTTTTCCAGCACATGTTTTTGCAATCTTTGTAAAGCTCCAGCTTGGCATAGATGGAAGGATTCATTTTTGGAATCTCTCTTCTTTTTTTTTCCAATCTGAGGAACTCCCTTTACAGTTTCTTGATGAACTCCCATGGTTTTTATTTGCCTAGGACATTCTTAATCTCTCCTTTATCTCTGGAAACTATGCTGGGTATAGTACTCTTGGGGTTGCCAGGTTTTGTTCCTTTTAGTACTTTTTTTTTTTTTTACAGGCAGAGTTAAACAGTGAGAGAGAGAGAGAGAGAGAGAGAAAGATCTTCCTTCCATTGGTTCACCCCCCAAATGGCTGCTATGGCCGGTGCACTGCACCAATCAGAAGCCAGGAGCCAGGTGCTTCCTCCTGGTCTCCCATGCGGGTGCAGGGCCCAAGCACTTGGGCCATCCTCCACTGCACTCCCGGGGCACAGCAGAGAGCTGGACTGGAAGAGGGGCAACCGGGACAGAACCCGGTGCCCCAACCTGGACTAAAACCTGGAGTACCGGCACCGCAGGCAGAGGATTAGCCTAGTGAGCCGGGGCACCAGCCTGAATCTCTCTTCTATTGCATTGGTCTATGTGCTTGTTTTCATATTAATACTATATTGTTGGGATATTTTGATAACTCCAGTTTTATTCTTTTTGTTCAATGTTGCTTTGGATATTTGTGAGCTTTTATGCTTCCAATGAATTTTAGGACTGCTTATTTTTTAGTTCTGTAAAGAATGACACCCATATATTTATGAGAATTGCATTGAATTGTAAATTGATCTCCATATCTTTATCAAGATTGGGGAAATTTTCAGCTGTTATTTCATCTATATGTTTTCAATAATTTTATCCTTCTCTTATCACTTGAGAATCTCTATAATTGGAATATGAGTTTCTTTAATGCTATACCAAAGGTCTTTGAGGCTGTCTTGAATTTTTTTTTATTATATGACTGGGGTATTTCAAAAAGTACTTTTCAGATTCAGATATTCTTTGTTCTGCTTGATATGGTCTGTTGTTGAGGACTTCAACCTTATTTTCAATATGATTTATTGAATTCTTCATTTCTAAGATTTGTGTTTGATTATTTTTCAAGATCTCTCTGCAGAATTTATCACTTGTATCATGCACTGATTTCACAATTTCATTTAACTATCTGTATTATTTTTATCTCTTTGAGTATCCTTATAATCATTATTTTAAATACTTCATCAAGCATTTTATCAATCTCTCTTCCTGTGTGATCTGATATTCAAACTTTTTTTTCTTTTGGGACATCATATTGTTTGATTTCTCACACTTCTTACATACCTGTCTTGATATTTGTCTTCTAGTGGATCAGTTACTTACATTGCTTTTAAATGGCAGCTTTCATGGATTGAAGACTTCTTCCTGAAGGTGTGTCTTCAATTGCCAGTTTGATAGCTCCTTTGACTTTAGATTGAATTGTATACCAGTGTACTCCCGCTATGTAATTTTTGATTGTTCATGATGGCACTGGTGCCAGGCACCTGGGTACTCCTTTCAGTCTCAGCAGGGATATACTGATCTCAGTGGTGGTGGCCAGGTTACATCAGTGTGGGCCAAATTCCAGGGCATGTGTGTGTGGCCACTTGCACATACCAAAATGTGACAGGCTTGGAAAGGGAGACAGAGAGTCCAGACAGGCATTCACGACCAACCACAATCACCAAAGCTGGGGTAGGCTCATGCCGCTCTGAAACCAAAGTCCAAGCATTTCAACAAAAGACAAAAGGGGCTCAAAAAGGAAGTTCAGGAGCCCAGGCAGGTGTATGTGATCAACTATGTCCACCTCAGCCTGGGAAGGCCACCAAACAACTTTTTTGCCCCAAAATAAACGTACTTATCTTTTAATTCTACTACTATGTACTTTTTAAAGTTCCTTCATATTTAGAAGTAAAACTTTGTAACAGAGTACAATAGCTGGAAACATTTAAGTAATATCTTAAAGAGTGCTTTATTTCCTCCTTCCTGGAAAATTAAGATCCTTTGAGTATTATAAACACCTTGTATATCTGTGCAGACATTCTCAAAAATTATGTCAGCTAATAATACATCTCAATGATGCTTTGTTCCTCGTTCTCTTGAGGCACATTCAAAAGAAAAGCAGGTGATTAATTTGTTAAATTCATGTAGGCAGGAAATTTTATTAGATCTTTGAAAAATTGCTTCTATGTGGTGAAACTCAAGTTCGTATTAGGGAGAATGCACAGATATTACAATTAAGATTTATATAAGACTTTGTGTTGAAACTCCACTTATCAAGGCAATTTGGAATTATATCAAATTATCACTACATGGAATCAGGTCTGCCTTAAAGAAGCTAAATGGGGAATTTCTAAAAAGGGAGAAAAATATTTACAACATTTTCTTTACTAGTCTATGCACTGGGAACATGTTAAGTCACTTAATTTCAACAACTTTCTGAGATTGTGTTTGCCACACCTCCACTCTCATTAGATGCTTAGCACTTTCAAGCCAGATTCTAGCTTCTTTGTGTTCCTTTTCAAAATTCTTGCATTATACCTGCCTCATGGCAAGTACACTAGGACATTTAAATAATGTGTACAGGACCACACAATTATTAATACATGACTACACCACTGCAAAGTCAATGTCTTTACATTATTATACCTTCCAAATAGGACTTCATAATTTATCAGGAAATAAAAATAAATTGAAGGAGGCTGCATTTACTTTGCAGTTGAAATACCTCATTTAAAAGCCTAAAATATGCATAACTACATTCAGTCACTGATTTGTATTCAGAATCCAGTGGGCAGTCTGGCATACAGCTATACCAAATGATAGTAATTATAATAAAATATGATCGTTTCATAACATCTGATCAACACCTTAATACTAAGTACATAAAAGACAACTAATAGGAAAGGTGCATGTCTTACTATTTATCATCTAAATACATCTTAGTGGAGACTACCAATTTGAAAGGTAAGATGGATGAAAACCATTAACTATGCAATAAATTTTGTTTCTGCATATTTCAAAGAGATGAATCCTAAATGATGATTCTGGAGCCAAGAGATACCAATAAATCATGAAGGAAAAAATGTCATTTTTACTAGAAGAGACTGTGATATTTGAAAGTATTGCTGAAAGATTTCAGAGTTATAACAAATTTTTATCAAGATGTTTAAGAGAACAAGAACTTTTGGGAATGTTTAATGAAGGTAAGTTAACTAGCCTTTCCTGTCCAAAAGCTAACTGTCTTCAGTTGTGTTAAGGGTAACAGATCATGCATTCTCTCTCAAGTACTATATGATGACCCATTTTAATGATACAAAATTCAAATAAAAAAGACTGTAAGAGATTCCACTTCATCTGACTGCTACTTTTATGAACCCTAGAATCACAGAACTGCTATAATTCCTTCCTACTTGGACAAAGATGTCATGTACCAAAGATACAGATAATTATCTCTGAAATAATCTCAGTAACTCTTTTTTTAAACTTCAGTAGCAGTATCCATTTCTATTCTTTTCATATTTTTTCACATAAATTGGGCATTTTTATTGGTTAAAATGATCAAATACCAGCAATTTAAGTTCAACTTACATGGCAAGACCAAATCTGTTCTCTGTCCATCTCAGTCATTCCCCTTCATTTGGGCCTCAAAGCAAGGCCATGAAAGACTCCATCTTGCACCTGACAAGGGTCCCTCACACCTTGAAACATCTTGCTCTACGATTCTCTTCTCTCATCCAGTTTTCCCTGTTTTCATCAGCTGCTCTTCGGAGATCATGGTTTCTAGGTCCTTCGTTGGCTGTTTTTGAATGTGCTACAGCTAAGTCAACACACAAGGGATGTGTGTATCCATTTACTCCACAAATGTTTGTCCAGTGGCAGGAGCTCTTCCAGGCACTGCTAATACCAGGGTTCCTTGGGGGCACTTATACCCTACAAGGAAGAATAGACAGGTTTATACCATACAGGGAAGAATAGACATGTAGTAAAGAAATGATACATTGATAAAATGCTGGATGATATGTTACTATTATGTTTTTTTTTCTTAACTTTTATTTAATGAATATAAATTTCCAAAGTACAGCTTATGGATTACAATGGCTTTTCCCCCCATAACTTCTCGCCCACCCACAACCCTCCCCTCTCCCGCTCCCTCTCCCCTTCCATTCACATCAAGATTCATTTTCAATTCTCTTTATATATAGAAGATCAGTTTAGCATGTATTAAGTAAAGATTTCAACAGTTTGCACCCACACAGAAACACAAAGTGAAAAATACTGCTTGAGTACTAGTTACAGCATTAAATCACAATGTACAGCACATTTAGGACAGAGACCCTACATGAGGAGTAAGTGCACAGTGATCCTGTTGTTGACTTAACAAATTGACACTCTTGTTTATGGCATCAGTAATCACCCTAGGCTCTAGTCATGAGTTGCCAAAGCTATGGAAGCCTTTTGAGTTCGCCGACTCTGATCATATTTAGACAAGGTCATAGTCAAAGTGGAAGTTCTCTCCTCCCTTCAGAGAAAGGTACCTCCTTCTTTGATGACCTGTACTTTCAACTGGATCTCACTCACAGAGATCTTTCACTTAGGTCAATTTTTTTTTTGCCAGAGTGTTTTGGCTTTCCATGCCTGAAATACTCTCATGGGCTTTTCAGCCGGATCCGAATGCCTCCAAAAAAGGAAACCTGTTAAAGTGAAATGGACACTATGAGAAACGGTGACTTGATCAGCCCTTGCCCTGACTGTTGATGAACAACTTAATACTTTATCCCTTTTAGTATTTTTTGGTTGTTCTACTTAATACTATTGGTTGAATTCTATAATTAATACACAGTTATTCTTAAGTGTTGAAACTTAACTGAAAAGTGATCCCTATTAAATATAAGAGTGGGAATAAGAGAGGGAAGAGATGTACAATTTGGGACATGCTCAAGCTGACTTGCCCCAAACGGTAGAGTTAGAAACATACCAGGGGATTCCAATTCAATCCCATCAAGGTGGCATGTACCAATGCCATCTCACTAGTCCAAGTGATCAATTGCTGTTCACAATTGATCATAATGACAGGACTAAGAGTAAAAGGGATCACATAAACAAGACTAGTCTCTGAAAATACCGATAGAATAAAAAAAAAGGAGAGAATGATCCAACATGGGAAGCGGGATACACAGCAGACGCATAGAATGGCGGATGTCCTAAACAGCACTCTTTTAATATTTTTATTTATTTATTTTTCCCAAAGAAACCTTTTATTTAATGAATACAAATTTCATAACTACAACTTTAGGGATATAGTTATTCTTCCCACCATACCCACCCTCCCACCCCTCCACCTCCTCCATCTCCTCTTCCCAGTCCCATTCTCCATTAACATTCCTTTTCAAATAACTTTGTACACAAAAGAGCAACTCTATACTAAGTGAAGATTTCAACAATTTGTACACACAAAAAAAATTGTTTGAGAACAAGTTTTAATGTTAACTCTTATAGTACAATTCATTAAGGACAGAGGTCCTGCATGGGAAGTCAGTGCACAGTAATTCTCATTATTAATTTAACTTTAACACTCTTATGTATGTCAGAGACCACCCAAGGCTCTTGACATGAGCTGCATAAGCTATGGAAGTCTTTTGAATCCACAGTCTCCATCAGTATTTAGACAAGGCCATAAGCAAGGTGGAAGATCTCTCCTCACTTTCAGAGAAAAGTACATCCTTTTTTAATAGCCACTTCTTTCCACTGGGGTCTCACTTACTGAGATCCTTCATATAAAACATTTTTTGCCACAGTGTCTTGGCTTTCCATGCCTTAAATGCTCTCATGGGCTTTTTAGCCAGAGCAGGATACCATAAGGACTGACTCTGAGGTCAGAGTTCTACTTAAAGTGATTGTCATTCTATGAGTCTCCTGTGTGGACTGCTTCCCATGTTGGAACATTCTCTCCTTTTTAATTCTATCTATTATTATTACCAGACACTTAACCATATTTATATGATCACTTTAATACTTAATCCTATCTATGTTTATTTTAACACTAATATGATAACTTTAACAATTAAAATGGCATTTTTATCACCCAGCTCAATGGGATTTAGGGTCCCATGGCAAATTTATAAACTGTACTCTTACAAGGTAAGTCTGTAGGAATGTATGTAGAACTATACAGATTTACAGTTACAATCTCCCTCCTCCCTCTATTATTCCCACTCTTATTTTTTAATGAGATCCATGCTCAATTGACTTTATATACATATGGTTAACTCTATGTTAAGTAAAGAGTTCAACAAATATTAGGGAAAGAACAGGAAAAAAAAAACTGAAAATGCTTCTCAACAGCCAAGACAAGGACCGCTCAAGTCATTCCTTCTTAAAGCGTCAATTTAACCTCTACAGATTTTTTTTAGGTGCTCTATTACTTCTCAAAGATCAGAGACAACATATGGTATTTGTCTCTTTGGGACTGGCTCATTTCACTAACTATGATGTTTGCCAGTTTCATCCATTTTGTTGCAAATGATCAGATTTCATGATTTTTTTTTTACCACTGTGAGCATTCCAGAGTGTACATATCCCATAATTTCTTTTTTTTTTTTAACAGAGTGGACAGTGAGAGAGAGAGACAGAGATAAAAAGTCTTCCTTTTCCGTTGGTTCACCCTCCAATGGCCACCACGGTCGGCGCGCTGCGGCCGGCGCACTGCACTGATCCGATGGCAGGAGCCAGGTACTTATCCTGGTCTCCCATGGGGTGCAGGGCCCTAGCACCTGGGCCAATCTCCACTGCACTCCCTGGCCACAGCAGAGAGCTGGCCTGGAAGAGGGGCAACCAGGACAGAATCTGGCAACCCGACCAGGACTAGAACCTGGTGTGCCGGCGCCACAAGGCGGAGGATTAGCCTAGTGAGCCGCGGCGCCAGCTCCCATAATTTCTCTATCCAATCTTTGGTTGACCAGCATTTAGGTTGATTCCATGTCTCAGCTATTGTGAACTGAGCTGCAATAAACATGGGGGTACAGATAACGTTTTTATTTGCTTATTTCATTTCCCTTGGGTAAATTCCCAGGAGCGGGATGACTGGGTCATATGGTAAGTCTGTATTCAGATTTCTGAGGTATCTCCATACTGTCTTTCATAGTGGCTTTACCAGTTTACATTCCTACCAACAGTGGATTAGGGTACCTTCTTCCCTCAATCCTTGTTAGCATTTGATGTTTATTGATTTCCGTATGAAAGCCATTCTGAGGTGAGGTGAAACTTCATTGTGGTTTTGATTTACATTTCCCTAACAGCTCATAATCCTGAGCATTTTTTCATGTGGCTGATGGCCATTTGATTTCCTCTTTTGAAAAATGTCTGTTTAAGTCATTTGCCCATTTTTTAATGGGTTGTTTGATTTGTTGTTGTGGAATTTCTTGATCTCTTTGTAGATTCTGGTTATTAATCCACTATCAGTTGCACTGTTTGCAAATAATTTCTCTCATTGTGTCAGTTGCCTCTTCATTTTGCTGTTTCTTTTGCAGTACAGAAACTTCTCAATTTGATGCAATCCCAATTGTTAATTTTGGCTTTGATTGTCTGTGCCTCTGGGGTCTTTTCCAAAAAGTCTTTGCCAGTGCCAATATCTTGCAGGGTTTCCTTAATGTTTCCAAATAATTTGATGGTGTTGAGTCATAGATTTAGATCTTTAATCCAGGTTGAGTGGATTTTGTGTAAGGTGTAAGGTATGAGTCTTGCTTCATAGTTCTGCATGTGGAAATCCAGTTTTCTCAGCACCATTACTGAAGAGACTGTACTTACTCCAAATTGGTTTTAGCTCCCTGGTCAAATATAAGTTGGTTGTAGATGCTTTGATTGATTTCCTGTATTTCTATTCTGTTCCATTGGTCTATCCTTCTATTTTTGTACCAGTACCAGGCTGTTTTGATTATAACTGCCTTATAGTACATCTAAAATCTAGTATTGTGATGCCTCCAGCTTTGTATTTGTCATATAAATTGCTTTAGCTATCTAGGTCTCCAGTGTTTCCCTAAGAATTTCAGCATCATTTTTTCTATATATGAGAAGAATATCTTTAGCATTTTGATTGGTATCACATTGAATCTGTAAATTTCTTTCAGAAGAATAGACATTTTGATTATATTGATTCATCCAATCCGTTAACATGGATTTTTTTTTTCGATTTTTTACAAGATTTATTTATTTATTTGAAAGTCAGAGTTACAAAGAGAGAGAGAGGGAGAGGCAGAGAAAGCAAGGTCCTCCATCCGCTGGTTCACTCCTCAGATGGCCACAATGACTGGAGCTGCACTGATCCAAAGCCAGGAGCCAGGAGCTTCTTCCAGGTCTCCCACATGAGTGCAGGGGACCAAGGACTTGGGCCATCTTCATGACTTTCCTGGGCCATGGCAGAGAGGTAAATTGGAAGTGGAGCATCTGGGACTTAAACTGGCAGCCTAAAAAAAAAAAACACCTAAATGAAAGATCTCTGTGAGTGAGATCACAGTGGAAAGAACAGGTCTTCAAAGAAGGAGGTACCTTTCTCTGAAGGGAGGAGAGAACTTCCACTTTGACTATGACCTTGTCTAAATAAGATAAGAGTCGGAGAACTCAAAAGGCTTCCATAGCCTTGGAAACTCATGACTGGAGCATAGGGAGATTACTGATACCATAAACAGGAGTGTCAATTTGTAAAGTCAACAACAGGAGTCACTGTGCACTTACTCCTCATGTAGGGTCTCTGTCCTTAATGTGCTGTACATTGTGATTTAATGCTATAACTAGTACTCAAGCAGTATTTTTCACTTTGTGTTTCTATGTGGGTGCAAACTGTTGAAATCTTTACTTAATGTATACTAAACTGATCTTCTGTATATATAAAAAATTGAAAATGAATCTTGATATGAATGGAAGGGGAGAGAGAGTGG